GAGGCTGGAAAACAATACACATTTGATTTGTCTAAAACTAGTGAAATTTTTTACCACCTTAAGAAGTATGGTCTAATTAAGTTGCCATTGAGGCATAAAATCCCAACAACTGGCGAAATAGTGAGTAAAGAATACTGTAAATATCATAACTCTTGGAAACATTCCACTAACAATTGTGTTATTTTTTGAAATGTTTTGCAAGAAAAAATCGACATAGGGATTCTACGATTTCCAAAAAAGTCTAAGGAAACCATGGGAGTTAATGTAGACCCATTCCCTGACTTGTCCATCAAAGTGAACGTGGTAGATCTTCGAACCCTTATCAAGGACAGAAATCGATCATACTCCAATCGCAGACTTGCAGTTGATGACTTGAGATGGGTCATTAAGGAGGCCAGAACTCGCAAAGATCATACTAGATCAGATCCTCCACGAGAAAGAAGGCACGGGGGGCATGATTTGAAACAACCAAAAGCTAGTCCAAGTTAAAGTGCTGTGAAATCTGGCTATGAAGGATGATCCAGAATGGTGAAATCGCCGCTCAGATCTCCTAGCCAAAAATGGGAGCGAGAAAGTCATCCAAAGTTCCCTAAGACTTAGAATCCAAGAATTTGAGGCGACGCTTACAATGCAAGAGAGTAGAAGAGAGGTGCCGACAACAGATGGAGAACTCGGGAGGCATGGCAGATCTAGCTTAGCCGCTCCTAGTGAGAATGAAAACTGTCTGGGTACCAAAAGACAAAAACAGGATATCAAGTCAAAAATCACCAGAAGATGAAAAACAACCCAGAAGTCCAGCTTCTCCCCAAGTTCTAACTGTGGAGACAAGTGAGGAAACTGGCTTGAAAGCAATGTTCAAGGTGGCAGAAGAAATGGAGAATTCAGCTAAGCAAGAAACCATCCAATTTGGTGAGTTTTTTGTGATTTTGTCTTGTTTGGTGCTTACCCTTAGGTCTTCTAAGCCAAAGGAGAACCAGAATCTATAGATTATCAATAGGCAGCTTAGACTGAGGAAGGAGTTATTGAGATCCTTGCAAAGGAGGATGAAAATGAAATTTCAACAGACAAAATTATTTTTGAGAATCTAGAAAAGAGGATGGCCGAATATATAAGGACATTATACATTTATGCTCACATGGATGGGATGCCAGTTAATCGAGTTTTGGTGGACAATGGTGTTGCTATCAAGGTGTTGCCAACTTGTATGTTACACAAAATTGGCAAATCTTTGATAGATTTGATGGAGATAGAAGTGACAATCAGTGACTTTATAGGTGGAGTAAATCGTTCAAGGCGAATTCTGCCAGTGGAGCTCACTGTGGGAAATAGAACTCTCATGTGTGCATTCTTTGTAGTTGATACTGTAGCCACTTATAATGCATTACTTGGGAGAGACTGGATCCATTCTAGCTGGTGTGTTCCTTCAACTTTGCACCAAAAATTGATATTCTGGAATGGTGGCAGAACTGAGGTCGTGAAAGTTGATGATAAACCTTTTGTGGCTAACACTAATTCGGTGGAAGCTCGTTATTATGATGAAGAAATTGGGACCATTCGCTTCTTTGGGATGGACAGTAATGGCAGACCAGCTGGAATTACTACCAGTACTAGATCAGCACTCACTAAATGCACAGTAAAGAAGGTTTGTGATGAACTCCTTCGACCTACAGTAATTGTTCCTTCTAGGCCAAGGGAGGAGCCAGAAATTGAAGAAATTCCATGAAGAGACAGTGAATCAATTGCCAGAAGAAAAAGGCCGTGGAAGAAATTAAAAGGAAATTAGTGGCCTATCTTGCAGAAAAAATTATCAGTGTAAACATATCTGAGGTGGTCCGTGAAGGTAAAAAGGAAGATCTGACGAATGAGGTTACTTTAGAGGAGTTGGATCTAGTTCCAGCCAAACTTAACGATTTGAAAGCAAAAGTATAAGATCCGCTAAAGGAGGTAAATCTAGATATTTCAAATTCTAGCTAAGTCAGATTTTGGTGAAATTGCATAGTATTTTCTTTTTCCAATTTAGCATTTTTTGAGTTTCAATAAAGGTGCTGATCTAAATTTGTAAGCTGGCCAGATTTGATCGTGAGCAATCATAACAACTAAATTATGGCCGCGTCAAATTTCAACCTGTTCTAGATCAAGTATGCAACAAAGGTTGTGAAAGAGGAAAGTGGATTTTTGATTTTGAAAACTGCATTCAAGTCTGCCTTCATATCTGCAAGAAGTTATTACGCTATTTTGCTAAGCTCTTTTTTGTCTACTCCGTAAGGGGAATCTATTCGTTTAGTTTTACAAGCTTGGCTTCAAAGTTTAAGATCTCCTCTTTCACACCTTAGAGTTGTTTAACATGTGGCATTGGTGGCTGGAGTTTGCATGCAATTTATTTAATTATAAATACTTGGATTTATTTCCATAAAACCAAGTGTTGGGGGGCATTGTTTACATCATAAATTGCATTTTTTTTAATAATGCCACGTGTCAAGAGGATAAAGTGAGATTAAATCTTTTGAAGGATGCATATTTATAAAGTTGGTTGGGAGGATAAGGGTTATCCAGTTTGTTGCAGCTTGAATTTTAAAAGGAATAGAAATCCCTAGAATTTGGGAGGAAGTTGTTTGTGCTCTTATCAGTCAAGAGACAGTTTGCAGGAAACATATAAATAGAAGCTTTCTGAATTTTTTCTTGACACGGCCAGCCTTACACAGAAACTCATCAATTTTTCAATTCTTTAGTTTCGTAGTGATTGCTCAACTCAGCTTTTATATTTCAATTTTAGCACAGATTCCAGTAGATTTAAATTGTTTTCAGCAATCAACTACCCAAATTAGTTTATGTAATTGCTTCTTTAATTTCCTTTCATGCAATAAACATCAAGTTTATTCTAATTTTCATCTCATTCAGTTCATTTTAGATCTATTAACTTCAATTCACGGTATTGGTAAAGTCCTTGAGATTGTTCAAGGCAGATTAGCACCTATTATGTTGGAAGACATCCCTCCCTCTTGCAAATCGTCTGAAGGGCGCAAAACTCAATTTTAAACCAATGTTCTTCCAATCATCTTAATGGAGGTCGATCGCGTGAAAGGAGAGGAGGAGAGGGTCATTGGGAGAATCCTTTTTTCTTGCTTTTTAGAAAAGCGAGTGACAAGCTTATATCCAAATTTCGCACGTGCGAAGCCACTTGAGGATTTTTGAGGAAACAAATATTAATAAATAACTAATTTATAAAAGGATAATATTGAACAACTTTGTATTTAATTAATTTTGAGAAAGGTGCATATTAATGTCGACCCCCAAAAAAATTGAAATCTTAACCTTAAATTATGTCATTTTATTCAATTAAAA